TTAGTAGAGACGGGGTTTCACCATGTTGACCAGGATGGTCTCGATCTCTTGACCTCGTGATCCACCCGCCTCGGCCTCCCAAAGTGCTGGGATTACAGGCGTGAGCTTCTGCGCCCGGCCAACAAGCACATTTTTAATGGTGTTCTCTATTTAATAACTTCTGCCCATAAGAGATAGGCTAGTGGATATCCTAGCACAGGAGCAGAGAAGTTTTTCTTTTTAAATGTAAGCTGAGGCCAGAAGCAGTGGCCCACACCTGTAATCCTAGCACTTTGGGAGGCCAAAGTAGGCAGATCACTTGAGGTCAGGAGTTCGAGACCAGCCTGGCCAACATGGCAAAACCTCATCTCTACTAAAAATACTAAAAAGTGAGGTGCACCACTGCACTGCAGCCTGGACAACAGAGTAAGACTGTGTTTCAAGAAAAAAAAACATAAAAATAACATAAGCTGAGCTGGAACAGGAGGAGGAAAGGAAAGCGGCAAGAGACCTAACACTTATTGTGATTGTGATTTTTTTTTTTCCCTTAACAAAGATTTGGGGTCTGCTGCTAAATATAGAGTGTGAGTCTTAAATTCCATGTACCTTCCTGTGACTGCCACTGCAGCTTATTTAACTCTTTCCTTGTGAGACTGTGAAAGTGGTGGTGATAGAGAGCCTTGGAAAAAGAAGAGCTGTCACCTGGAACCAGACTTCTCTCTCTGCTCAGGTCTTTGCCAGATTGCTCTGCTTTTCTTTCTTTTTTTTTTTTTTCCTTTTCTTTTTTCCTGAGACAGGGTCTCTTTTGCCCAAGCCAGAGTACAGGGGTACAGTCTTGAACTTCTGGGCTCAAATTATCTTCCTGTCTTGGCCTCTCAAAGTGTTGGGATTACAGGTGTGAGCCACTGCACCCAGCCTGTTTGTTTATTTTTTGAGACAGTTCTCACTCTGTTACCCAGGCTGGAGTACAGTAGCAAGATCATGGCTCACTGCAGCCTTGACTGCCAAGCTCAAGCAGTCCTTCTGCCTCAGCCTCTAAGTAGCTGGGACCACAGGTGTGTGTGTCACCACACCTAAATTTTTTTTTTTTTTTTTAGATGGAGTCTCACTCTGCTCTCCAGGCTGGAGTGCAGTAGAGCGATCTTGGCTCACTGTAGCCCATCTCCTGATCCAAGTGATTCTCCTGCCTCAACCTCCAGAGTAGCTGGGATTACAGGCATGAACCACCACACGCAGCTAATTCTGTATTTTTGGTAGAAATGGGGTTTCACCATTTTGGCCAGGCTCGTCTTGAACTCCTGACCTCAGGTGATCCACCTGCCATGGCCTCTCAAGGTGGTAGGATTATAGGCTTGAGCCACTGCGCCTGGTCAGTATTTTTTCCTTTTTTTTTTTTTTTTTTTTTTTAGACAGAATCTCACTTTGTTGCCTAGGCTGAAGTGCAGTATCATGATCTCAGCTCACTGCAATATCCGCCTCCCGGGTTCAAGTGATTCTCCTGCCTCAGCCTCCTGAGTAGTTGGGATTACAGGCGCCCAACACCATGCCCAGCTAATTTCCCTGTATTTAATAAGGACAGAATTTCACAATGTTGGCCAGGCTGGTCTCAAACTCTTGACTTCAGGTGATCTGCTTGCCTCAGCCTCCCAAAGTGCTGGGATTACAGGCATGAGCCACTGGGCCCGGCCTTAGCTATTTTTAAGTGTACAGTTCTGTGACATTAATTACATTCACGCTGTTGGGAAACAGATGTGTGAGTTTTTCATCTTGTATATCTGACTCTGTACCTATTAAACAACAGCTCCCCTTTTCCCCCTCCCCCTAGCCCCTGGTAACCACCATTATTTCTGTTTCTACAAATTTGACTACTTCAGATAATCTCATGTAAGTGAATCATGCCATGTCTGTTTTTTGTGACTTATTTTACTTAATGTGATGTCCTCAAGACCCATCCATGTTGTAGCATATGACCGGATTTATTTCCTTTTTAAGGCTAATACTCCATTGGATGTATATATCATATTGTTTATGCACTACACCCACTAATGGACTTTTAGGTTGCAACTGCCTCTTGGTTATTGTGAATAGTGCTGCTGTGACCGTGGGTGTGCAAATAGTTATTCGAGCCTCTGCTTTCAGTTGTTTTGGATGTATACCCCAAAAGTGAGATTGCTGGGTCAAGTGATAATTCTATTTTTAATGTTTATTATTTTCAAAGAACCCAGGCCACTGGAATTTTTATATTTTTTTGAAGAACCCCTGTACTACTTTCCATAGCACATGCACATTTTACAGTCTCGCCAATAGTACCCAAGAGTTCCAGTCTCTCCACATCCTTGCCAATACTTTTTTTTTTTTGATGGCCATCTTAATGGGTGTGAGATATCTCATTGTGATGGTTTTGATTTGCAAATCTCTCCTGACTAGTGATGTTGAACATCTTTTCATATACTTTTTGGCCATTTATATATTGTCTTTGGAGAAATGTCTGTTCAAGGTCAAGGCCATTTCCTTTTTTTTTTTTT